GACCCCAAGGGTCCCTTAGCCCTGGGTTCTGGGCCGCGGGGCGGAGACGATCCGTTGGTGGGGTCGGGGTCTGGGGACGAGGTCCCGGCAGCGCACTGACTGCCCCGCGGGGTGAGGCCCCGTGGGGTGGGGGCCCCGCTGGGTGAGGCTCCATGGGGTGGGGGCCCCGTGGGTGCCCCGTGCTGGAGCTGGGAGGAGCTGGCCGGTGGTTCCCTCCCGCAGACGCGTCGGCCCCAAGATGTCGTACATACTCCCGCACCTGCACAATGGCTGGCAAGTGGATCAGGTCATCCTCTCGGAAGAAGACCGCGTGGTCGTCATTCGGTTTGGACACGACTGGGACCCTACTTGTATGAAGATGGACGAGGTTCTGTACAGCATACCTGAAAAGAAACGGCAGATAATGGGGGATCTTCCTCATCTTGCTGCGAGCCCTGTTTGGATACCCCAACTGTTTTAAAAGTTAAAAATTCCTCAGTTATTTATCTTGTGGATATTACAGAAGTACCTGACTTCAACAAAATGTATGAGTTATACGATCCGTGCACTGTCATGTTTTTCTTCAGGAACAAGCACATCGTGATCGACCTGGGTACTGGCAACAACAACAAGATCAACTAGGCCATGGAAGACAAGCAGGAGATGATCGACATCATCGAGACGGCGTACGGGGGTGGGGGGGCCCGGGAGGGTCGCGGCCTGGTCGTGTCTCCGAAGGACTACTCCACCAAGTACAGATACTGAGCCCTCGTCCAGTCCTGGTGCATACATTGCCGTGGAGTCATTGTCACGTGGAAATACTTTCAACTATTTAAAGCCTTTGAGAAAGCGTTTGGGAAAGTACACATAGCTCAAGGAGCTGGAGGGTTTTGCAGTGAGGGTGGCATTGCCTCCACTTTCAGTCTGCCTGGTCCTTGTATTTTTGTATCAGCAAATATCTGTAAATATCTAGCTGATATAAATAAAATACGTGGTGTTGGGAAAAATTTTTTTTAATTTTTTAAATAAATTGAGGTAAATTCATACAATGGAATACTGGGTAGCCATTAAAACAATGCGGTAGATCTCCATGTATTAACAGGAAGAGGTCTCCAACATATAATCTACGTCAGGGGTCGGTAAACTAAGTGCCATAAGCCAAATCCAACCCCTGTCTGTGAATGTACTGCCCACGAGCTAAGAATCGTTTTTACATTTTTAAATGGTTGAAATGCAATCAAAAGAAGAGTAGTATTTTGCAATATTGAAAATTACAGGAAATTCAAACTTCAGTTTCCATAAATAAAGTTTTATTGGAACATAGCCACGCCCATTCATTTACATGTTGTCTATGGCTGATTTTTTTTTAATAAATTTATATATTTATTTATTTTTGGCTGCGTTAGGTCTTTGTTGCTGCACACTGGCTTCCTCTAGTTGCGGCGAATGGGGGCTACTCTTCGTTGCGGTGCACGGGCTTCTCATTGCCATGGCTTCTCTTGATGCAGAGCACGGGCTCTAGGCACGTGGGCTACAGTAGTTGTGGCATGCGGGCTCGGTAGTTGTGGCTCATGGGCTCTAGAGTGCAGGCTCAGTAGTTGTGGTGCACGGGCTTAGTTGCTCCGCGGCACATGGGATCTTCCCAGACCAGGGATCGAACCTGTGACCCCTGCATTGGCAGGCGGATTTTTAACCACTGCACCACCAGGGAAGTCCCTAGGCTGATTTCTTGATGCGGCAGCAGAATTGAGTACAGGTGACAGGGACCATATGGTTCCCAAAGCCAAAAATATTTATTATCTGGCCTTTTACAGGAAAGAAATTGCTGACCCTAATCTAAGTGATAAAGGGCAAATCACATATTGTATATGTATAAAATTCCCTTCATAAAATATGCTCATAAAAATTATATATATACATATATGTATTTAAGAATGTAAATTAATAGAAGAAGGTATGGGAGGACCCACCCTAAATGGTTAACAATGGTTCCTTATGAAAGAGGACCAGGATTAGAGAAGGAAAATGGATAAAGGGAGATTACATGTTTTATTACTTTATATTTATATATGTATTTATAGTCTTTCAATTTTATACTGAAAAAGTATATATATATCTCCAGTCAATTCTTGTTATTTGCAGTAGTTATGTTCTATAAAGTCAGTGAAAACACTGAAATACAGAACACTGAGCTGTTGCTTCTCGGGGAAATATGAGGTCAGTCAGGTTCCTGGGAGTCTCTGGTCAAAATATTTTCATTAGCCAATCAATCCATAACCTTGTTTTATGTGTGATTCTGTATAAAGACACCTGATTTAACATATTTCGTTGATCCATTAACACTGAACTCACAGCCAACAGCTCTGTAACTCAGACCTGAATGAAGCTTACCTAACACATGTATTTTTTCTGTAACGCACATCACAGCCTTCTTTGATTTAGCAACACTAGACAGATTTTTCAGCACTACACTTGGGGGCCATTTTAAACAACAAAATCACCAACAAAAAGCACAAAAATGCAAAAAACATGGCACTCGTGAGATGGGGAAAAGGATCCTTGTTGACAGTATGAGAGCTGAAACAGCATCACTTTGTTTGACCTCAGCTGGGGCTGTGCTCATGGGTGACTCAAATCTTTTGTCCCTCTGCCCATGTCCACAAATGGCTGCGAAAGCACCATGTCTATTGATTTGTGGGTCACAAATAAATTTTAGTGAGTAGAAAAATCCACATAATGGAACTGGTGAATAAGGAAGACTGGAGATATATATATATATATATATATATATATATATATATATATATACACACACACACACATATGCATTGCTTTTGTAGTTAATCAACAAAAAATATGTTTACTATTTGCCCTTGACCAGAGTTGTCTGCAAAGTCTTTCTTTTGGGCAGCAAGCAGAGGGTCCCGAGCCATGCCTCTGATGGGTAGAGATGTTCATTTTTACATTAAGACAGCCCACCTTTCACCAGGACTCCCAACAGGGCACAGACAGCACAAAGCAGAGGACGTGTTAAGGCTTCCTCATGGCTGTTTCCCAAGTTGCAGGGTTGACTTCTTGGGTATCTGTTAACAGCTGTGTCCTGGACACACACGGTTGGGCCAGCCAGAGGCGTGCAGGGAGGGGTTTGCCCCTCCTCACCCAACTTCCATTTCTTCATTCATTGATTTACTCACACCATTCATTCACGCAGTCAACACATTCATGAAAGACAAAGTATCATATGACATCCCTTATATGCAGAATCTTTCAAAAATGATAAAAATGAACTTATTTACAAAACAGAAACAGACTCACAGGCTTAGAAAACAGACTTATGGTCCCGGGGGGGTAAGGGTGAGAGGGAGGGATAGATTGGGAGTTTGGGACTGACATATACACGCTGCTATATTTAAAACAGATAACCAGGGCTTCCCTGGTGGCGCAGTGGTTGGGAGTCCGCCTGCTGGTGCAGGGGGCACGGGTTCGTAACCTGGTCTGGGAGGATCCCGCATGCCGCGGAGCGGCTGGGCCCGTGAGCCATGGCCGCTGAGCCTGTGCGTCCGGAGCCTGTGCTCTGCGGCGGGAGAGGCCACGGCAGTGAGAGGCCCGCGTACCGCCAAAAAAAAACCCAGATAACCAACAAGGACCTACTGTATAGCACAGGGAACTCTGCTCAACACTCTGCAATAACTTAAATGAGAAAAGAATAGATACATGTGTACGTATAACTGAACCACCTTGCTGTACACCTGAAACTCACACAACATTGTTAATCAACTATACTCCAATATAACATAAAATTTTAAAAAATTAACTAATAACTAGTAAAAAAAAAAAAGCGCAGGGGCAAAAGGGTGCTGCTGTAGAGAAGGTGCACGAGTCAAGTAATATTGTTTCCAGGTGGAAAAGCTACTTTCAGCTCTTCTCCTAAAATGAAAAATGTAACTTCAGCACTGCACAGGGCACTAACTTACATGTATCCATCTATTGTCTGATGGGGTTTTGATCTCTGGCTCATCTTCCCACTGGCCTTTTTAGAGTCCCGTGAGTAGAACTGCGTCCTCCTGTCCTCCACACTCCCACAGAGCTTATGGAAGAGCTGAAGGAAGGCAGGGGGAAATCAGACCTGGTCAGCAGGTGCAAGTCAGACTGAGTTAAGGCAATCAGACAGGAAAGAGAGGCACACCCAGGCCCACATGAAACAAAGTCTCAGCCTCACCTGAAGACATTAAAGGAATACCAGACCATCAGGGCTCTGGAGGTGAGGTCCGGTCCTTAGCGCTGGACACCACCCCTCAAGCTGGGGCTCGTACAAAGCGCTGTTGCCACCTTGTGGTGAGCAGAGGTGGGCCTTGGAGCTTGCTGACTTCTCCTGCTGGTTCTTCTCAGGTAACAAGCTCCGGAGGCTGACACACATTCCTGGAAACGCATGCCTCCCTAGGGCTTCGGCTACCCTACATCCCACCCCCCAGACTGTGCCCCAGACCAGGCTCCAGGGGATGAGCCATGTGGCCACAGGTGACTCCTCTCTGGGCCCTGTCCCTCCTCTGTGAAGCTGCAAGTTGTCCTGGCATCACAAGCCCCCAGGATCCCTTCTAGTTTGCAGAGTGAGGACCCGGAAGCTCTAGGAGCTGCCCCTCAAAGCACTCAGCCTCGGGCTGGGGTTGCCCAGAGACTATGCCCTGAACCAGCCTGAGGCGTAAGGGCCTTACTGCTCTTCCTTTGAGAATTTCCACAGTCAGTGTCTCTTTGTAAGTAGGGAAGGTGAACATGTCTCCTTTGTGTCTGCACTCCACACCCAAAGTGGAATGCACTCTCTCCACATGTGGTGGCCAGAGTGACAGAGCAGGTAAGACCTGGGAGAGGGTGTGCAGGGGTGTGTGTGTGTGTGTGTGTGTGTGTGTGTGTGTGTGTGTGTTCCGGTGCCTGTTCCCCTATGAGAAGAGACCAGACCTGGAGGAAGAGGGAGGTAACAGAGGAGCTGGCCTGCTGGCATCTGGGGAATCGAAAAACGTCTGCTGGCTTTTCTCCCATGAAAATCGAGGCTGCGCCTGAGGAAGCAAACAGTTCCAGTTCCCAGGGGTGGCCCTCAGGACTGGAAGCCGCAGCCTTTGTGGCCATTGTTTCAGCTGCGGGTGAGACTTGTATCACTTGTGACAACAGTGGCAGAGTGTCCTACTGCAGGGCAGGGACCCCAACCGGCGTCTTCCCGGTCCCCCCAGCAGATCCTTCACCTCACGCTCTAGAACGCCGCTCCTCCGTCCCTCTGTCTGTCACCTGCGCTGCTCTGTCCTGGGACCCAGCCGGCGGGCTCCACCCCTGTCCCGTCCACGCCATCTGGGGCTCACAGCCAGGCTCCATCTCTGTCACGGTCCCTGAGCAGCCCTGCCAGAATTCCTGGGAAGAGGTGGGTCCTCCCTGTGAATCCAAGAGCAGTGATTGGAAACTCTGGGAAGTTTGGCTTTCATACGTTCCAGAGGGAACGTTGCTGAACCCCTCCCGGGTTGGATGGAATGGGGAGACAGGGAGAGAGTACCAAGGGGCTGGGGTGGTCACCGTTCCACTGTGAGGGAAAACAAGCCCGGGTCTGGGGAGTCTCACAGGCCCCTAGGAGCGCTGGAATTAATACATGAAACTTCTATACCCTTTGCAAAAGACGATAAGTCAGTATTACTGTGTCCATTTTACAGGAGAGAAAACTGAGGTGTGAGTCTATTCATCCATGAGGTTCACGGTTTCAGTAGTAATACTATTTATATACATATATTTTATACTTTACTATATTATATCTATCTATATATACACACACACATGCACACTTTTTACCTCTATTTCACATTTTTACTTTCCCATCATCATTCTTGATCCCGACAACTCTGTGAGACAGAAAGGTCAGACTGACAGTCTCTCAGCCCATGACAGAGCTCTGCTAGAACAGGTCTCCTGCATTTCTGGTTGGGAACACAGTTGATTGCTTAACTGCTTTCATTTCCAACTCACTGTCCCCCTGCCTTCCTTACAGAGTCCAGTTAAAGCTTCCCCCTGTCCCCCACCCCCACCCTCATGTCATGCCTGGGTCCCAGGGGAATCTGATCCCAGCAGTTAGGGTGACTCAAGTCTCTTTGCTTGTGTTGGGTTCAGAAGCCTGGGTTAGGCCAATCAACCCAGGATATCAGCCTAGTGGCTGCTATTATCCAGGTAGTGGCTTAAACTGACCAGTTCAAACTGAAAGGAAAAGGTTTCCTCTCCTTCTCTCTGGACGTGACCGAAGAAGCAAGTGCTAGATCTGCTGCTGGCAGCCATCTTGCAGCCATGAGGCGAGTCAGCCTAAAGGAAAAGAATTAGAAGAGGGCAGAGTAAACAGGATTACAGGAAAACAGAATTAGCACCCTGATAAAACCCTACCTGAAGCCCTAGCTCTGGGCTACTTGTTAGATCCTATAGTAAACTCCTTATTGTTTAAGTTAGTTTGCATTGACTTTTCTCTTCCTTGTATCCAAAACCACCTTAATGGGCAGGTCTGGACGGACACACTTTCTCCCACTTCTGCTGTCAGACTTCTCCTTGCTTTCCTCTGGCTCCTGTCAGAGCCAAGTCAGCACACATTGAAAGGGCCAGGGCGGACTAAATGCGTCTCCTGGACACCACAAATGTCTTTGTGGTATCTTAAGACTTTAAAAACTGTGCAGGGAGCTGCGGCCTAGCTCGGTCCTGCTTCCCATTAGGATAAACACATCCCTCAGCAGAGCGACCCATGCCCAGCTCCAGAAATAGCCTGCCCACCAGAGAAAATGCACTTTATTTGACAGGCTTCCACAGCCATATCATTATCATATAATCTCTTTTATCCACCCCTTTCCCCTGCCCTGGAACTCAAATTGCATCTTTAAAATGTCTAAATAGCAGTTTGGTGATCTTCAGTGATGCTATACTTGATACTGAGCTGGGAAAATCAATGTCAAATGCCCAACTTCAGAGAAGTTTGGGTGAGGGGTGAGAGGGAGGTTTTACATCCAATTACTTTTCTGTGAAGAAATATGGGTTGAAAATACTTGACAAGGGACTAAGTTTCAACGTCCACAAGTCCAGCTTTTGACTTCCTAATCACCAACATCAACCCCACAGACCTCGCCTGAGCGCCTGTGGGCGACTTTCCACCCTCGTTTCCTCCTACAAAAGTAGGAGTAGGTGGGGACTCCTTCTTTCGGCTTCCTCCTCCCGGGCTAGCACAGCCCTGCATAGGTGCCGATGCCCCAAGGGCTCCAGGAGGAATCAGGCAAGATGCAAAGAGGCAGCCCCAGGAACGAATAGTGACGGTGTCCAAAAATGCCCACTGGTAAGGGACAGCGTCAGGACTGTGTCCCTAGGGGCTGCTCAGGGCAGTCACAGTATCAGAGTGAAACAAAGGAAGCTCTCCACAGGAAGAGGGAGTCTGCCCGGGGGGTGTGAAGGGCTGATGACGCCTGTTTCTGGAGGTGGGTGAACTCCATTTACCCAGGGCTGGCTCTGAGCAACACTCTGGGAAGTGGGCGGGAGTCCGTGTCCCGCCAGGTGGAGCTTTCACATTCCTCTTCCTGTTACTGAACACCTACTCCAGATCCTTCCTGGACCTGAGTGACAGACTCCAGCTCCCAGGGCTGAGCGAAAGGCCAGGGAGGCAGCCAGGATATAGGAGGGTGGCTTCCTAGAAGGAATTTAAGCCTTCCTTCTGCCAAATCCATTTCCAGCAGCAGCCTGGAGGACTTGTTGGGAGAGGAGAATGTGGGGCTTCTAATCCCCTGAGCACCCACTCCGTACCCGACACTGTGCTTACAAGAATTGCATATCATGGAGATCACTGGGCCAATTTACAGATGAGAAAACTGAGGCTGAGAGAGGTCAAGGAACTTTCCCAGGATCACACTAGCAAGTAAAGTGGCTGGTGAGATTCAAGTCTAGGTCTTTCTGCCCCTTGAGGCCTACCCTGCTTGCCTGCTTAGGTGAGGTGAGCTCTGACTTTCCTAACTGCCTCTTAAACTGACCTGGGGAAGCAAATAACAACTCCCTTCATTGGAGCCCACGGTACGCAGGATGGGGCAGGGGCTGGTAGTTACAGACCTAAAAACCAACCCTTTCCTCTTCCTGCAAGTTGCTCCTGATCAATGCTGGGCACCCCAGGCCATCGCAGGAGAAAGGGCAACATGGAACTTCCTGGAAGTTCTCAGGATCCCCACCGTCCCAACGCACACACATACACACACAAACACATGCCTGCACACACAGACACACACAGAGATGCACACACAGACATACACATACAACAATCAATTTTTCTTGAGACCAAAATAAATGAGCGATATAATCATATTTTCTTCAAGATTTCTGGAGTATCAAAAATAAAATTAAAAAAAAGACCATTATCCCTACACTTTTGGTTGAGGAAAAATTCAATCATCAAAATGAAGTACAGAGAGGCAGAGCAGATCTGTTTCTCATGAAGAAGGTTTGGGGAGAGGCAGCTCTGCTGCGGGCACGCGTGTGTCCCAAGTGCCTTCCGTTGGTGCACGTGCTGTGGGTAGGGTGTTGTCCTGCTTGATCGTGACCCCTCATGCAACTCCATGCGCCTGAGCTTGTGTGCCGAAAGATCCAGAAGCACCAGAGCCCCTCGTCCAGTGAGAATCAGGCAGCAGAAAATCTGCATTTAATTGCAAATATTGTAACAATAATCATGCAGAAGACCGAGCTAGCATTGCAACTATGTGTCCTCGACTTAGTGCCTGAGTGTGGGACGTCTTTCTGCGGAAATGCTTATAGAGCTGTAAACTCTAAGCCGAGATTTCTTCAAGAACATGTCTTCTCTCGTTAGGATGATTTTACTTTGGAGGGTGTTCCCAGCCTTTTCCAGGAAAAGAAGATGGTGGGGGGTGGACGTGGGGGACTTGTAGGGTGAAGAAGGGGGACAGGGAGACCGACTCAGATGTGTCTTAAAGATGTCTTTGTTTTTAATTATCCGTGTCCTGGGCTACGGCGCAATCAGCCTCTCTCCAGAGTTTCAACTCAGATCAAATGCTCCGTGCTGCGGTCTTACTCTCCACCTCCCAGACGGCGGCCTTTCCCCATTTGAAGATTATTTATTGCTTCTCAACCACCTTTCATGCTGCTAAATGTTTCTCCATGCTCAGTGAAGAAAACAGCCCAGCGGGATTTTATTTTATTTCCCTGAGTGCCGGCCTGTCCTCCCACTTCATCCCAGGGAGCATTTTAGGCTCAACAGTCTGCACACACCCCCTCCCCTCCTAGGGCAGCTCCTCGGCCTGGGCCTGGCCAGGGGAATGGTCCCCAGGGTCCACTGGTCACACGGCTGCCTCTGGGCCTGCACGACTCTACTTTCAAAAGAGGGGGAGAAAGCAAACTGCTTCTAGAAGCTTGCTGAGAAGCAGCTCAGTCCGAAATGCTTTCCTTCCAACTCCTCCACCCCCCAGGATATCCAGTAGGTGGGCACCCCTCCTGGACTTGAAAATGCAGATTTAGCCTAAGTGGGGTGATGCCAGCCACCACCCTGACTCCCCACCCAGGTCCGAAATAAATTTACACCTCCTCATTTCTGTCCTATTAGTCAGTCAGTCTGAGGAAAACAAGCCAGCCAAGCTGGGCCAGGTGGACGAGTCACAGAATATATGTTTTCAGATATTTTAAAATTAATTTTATTTCCTGCTCATATTTAAAATTTTGCTTCCATTACCAGAATGCAACTGTGCTGGACCTCCTGTAAGGAAAACTGCAAATTCTATAGTTAGATTTCCCTCACCCACCCGCTGAGACTCCATGCTGCGCATCCTCATAGGCTGTAACCCTGGGAGGTGGGCGGATCCCAGCCCCTTCCTCCTTCAGGTTCTGATTTCCAGCTCTGGCCCTCCTCCCTTGCCGGGCCTTAAGTCTCACTTCCTGGCCCGGCTTGGATGGCGTCTAGGGGGCCCTGAGAGCACCACCCACTCCCTGGCCTCGGGGGTCGAGGTGCCCCCACGTCAGCCTTGTCCCCCAGCTGCCCTGCTCTCCCCGCCTTGCTCCTCCTCTTTGCAGCCCTTGCCCTTGAATGGTCCTCCTTCTTCCACTCCTGGGTCTCTTTATAAAAACAAGAAGCCTGGGCTTCCCTGGTGGCGCAGTGGTTGAGAGTCAGCCTGCCGATGTAGGGGACACGGGTTCGTGTCCCCGGTCCGGGAAGATCCCACATGCTGCGGAGCAGCTGGGCCCTGAGCCATGGCCGCTGAGCCTGCGCCTCCGGAGCCTGTGGTCCGCAACGGGAGAGACCACAACAGTGAGAGGCCCGCGTATCACAAAAAAAAAAAAAAAAAAAAGAAGCCTAAAGAGCCAGTGGGAAAATTTTTTTAAATATATATTCTTTTAATATATGAATACAAACAATAAGTGAAAGAACAACTACCTTCAAAAGTATCTTTTCTGTAAATTAGTCTATCCCAACTTTTAAGTACAGAAAATGCTGGCATATGTCACAATATGCTAGGAAGAAATGATTCTTGTTTTATGACTTTAGGTTTGTTTATTTAAATTTTGTTTATCTATTTTAAATATAGCAGTGTGTACATGTCAATCCCAAACTCCCACTTTATCCTTCCTCCCCCGCTTCCCCACTGGTAACCCTAAGTTTGTTGTCTAAGTCTGTGAGTCTGTTTCTGTGTTGTAAATAAGTTCATTTGTACCTTTTTTTTTTAGACTCTGCATATAAGCCATATCATATATCTGTCTTTCTCTGTCTGACTTACTTCATTTAGCACAATAATCTCCAGGTCCATCTATGTTGCTGCAATTGGCATTATTTCATTCTTTTTAATGGCTGAGCAATATTCCATTGTACAAATGTACCACGTCTTTTGCATCCACTCATCTGTCGATGGACATTTAGGTTGCTTCCATGCGTTGGCTATTGTACACAGTGCTGCAATGAACATTGGGATTAAAGACCTAAATGTAAGGCCAGAAATGTTTACAAGAAACTTTAAAATGCTCTCTACAGACAGAGACCATAATAATAGCAAACACTCACTAGAGTTTACCGAGCTCCAGGGATTCTCCTAAGTTCATTTACCACCCAGAACCCTGTGAGCTGGATACTGTTATCATCCCACATGAGGGGGGCCGAGGAACAGAGAAACCAAAACTTGCTCGAGGTCACCCAGCCAGGATGCGGGAGGGCCGGGCTTTGGACACGGGCAGCTCTTAACAATTGCATTATTCTATCTCTCTAAGGAGAAGTTTTCTCTAAAGGGAGAAAGGCTGATTTTTAGCCTTCTTACAAGTACAGTGTTATTCCATTTGTAAATTGGTCAATT